CTTATGACTGCAATTCAGTGTAACAACCCGGGCGAACTCTCAACAAAATTACAATTGTTTTAAACTTTCCTGTAGTACAGGGATCATTTAATCATAACCCCCTCCCCTCTTCAGCCCTTGGGGTATCGACATGCAAAGTTTGTTGCTGCGATCATGCGTTTTTGCATGATTCCGTCCCGCAGAAAGATTGCCTGTACTATTAGGGTGTTGCTGCGACGTTGCACTCTGAACATTTAACATGCCTGTACGCAGGGCTCATGCCTAAACAGAAGCTTATCCTACGTTTGGTGGGCCGCATATCGACAGCAAACATCCTCAAAAAAATGCAGCTTTTTGCTCACTCTGATTACCGAGTTAACTGGATGCCAACAGTATCCCGCACTAAATCTTTACTTGCGCGTACACGAAACCTAGGCGTGCTTCAAATTGGATTTGAAAAATTCCCGTCACACATGGGCAGAGGATATACTGGCAAAGGTTCAGTTCCCTAGCAATGACTGGTTGGCGAAATCGTTTTCCGTTGGAAATATCTCTGATGCGTCCGTATGCGCGACACAGGCGAATGCCAAGGCTCATTTTAAGTATAAATGGCCATGTATGAAAAAAAAATATTTCATAAAGTTAAAGCGCTTTAAACAGCTTATTTCACGATTGGCATTTCGCCAACGATATGTGTCTCATTTTTATTGATGTGTGTGTGCGCTCGTTAAAACTGAATTTGAAATCTTTAGCTCAAAGATGGACATAAAACATTCGCCTGTTTTATTTGATTCTCGAAATCTTCCGTCAAAAAAAGTTGCACGGATTTTTTTTAGGCATTTGTAAGTAAAACCAAAATGTACGAGAACGCTGTTTCAATGCTGTTTAAGTAACACTAGACTAGGGACATCACTGTAAATTTTTAGCTTCCTAGTTTCTACACTTTCTCAGCTACATAAAGGTAGCGAAAATCAGAGCAGACACACACACACATAAACATAAAGTACCGACAACCTCTCGAAAATATGCATTTTTACATTTGCATAAAGATGCAAAAAAACATAAAAACGATACAGATAATGCAAACCTGATGTGTTGTTGCGTCGAAGTTTTAATGCGTTGTTATGCGGAGGAACAATAGCAAGTACTTCGTGCGTACAGCTCATTTCGTCCTTGCAAAAATGAATGCTTTTACAAACTTAATTTATCAAGGGAACGAGAATACGAAACGTTCATCTAAAGGAACGCATAAAGATAAGTTAGAGCGATGCGGAGAGGGCGGTATAACTGACGAAATCCAATAAAAACCTGCTTAAGTCCATTAAAAACTTAACTTAGGCTGAGAGAGAGGACAAGAGAGGCGATGAATTCAGCTAGAAAGTCAAACTAATTCGAAACATAATGAAAACTGGGATCGTAGAATGGTTGTAATCAGCTGGCAAATGTCTCATTTCTCAGGCTATTCGCCGTCCCAATCTCGGACATCAAAATCCGCCTCACGAAGATACTAACCAACCTCAATGCCGTTTAGACCAGCCTTAACGGATGGCAAAAAAAAAAAGACGAAATACCATGAAAAAGGGCGAAAACGGTGCGGTGATCACTCAAAAGCCGTTCAACGACAACTACACCATTGACGAAAAGGATTATCCACTCCTTTTTCTACAGCACAGTCAAAGCTGCTAGCTACATTGTACAGGTTAGGATAGAGAAAAAAATGAAAGACTTTACGTCACTGAAGGAACTTGTGGTAGCTGTACTTTATCTAAAAGGTAAGGCAGCTATTAAATTTAGCTTGGTCGGATTTGAAAGCGAATTGCGCTGACCAGGCGGTGGTAACAGAGACTTATTTTGAGAGGGGCGAGGATCAGGCGTGGTGGCTTAGGTCTTGAGGATCGTAACGGAGCTGGAGAGCGGAATTATTGGTTGAAAAGGCCTTGGTTAGAGGTAGGAATTGGAGGCAGAGCTGGGGTTTGTACAGGAGAGGGGGACGCTCCTAGGGGTTTTTTATGCACAGCATGGTACTTGGTGCCGAAAGGAAGCTAAACACTCGTTGTGCACTTATTTTTACGTTTGTATTCGAACAGTGAAAATCGTAGTGATGAGTATGTTTGTTCAGGTGAATCTAGGTAAGGTTCAGGGAGTCACATTCAAGATCACTAATTTCCAATCAACACTATGTTTCATGCTAGGCATGAAAAATCCACCCATTCTAATAAACTTACCCCTGTTTTCAATTCTTACCTCCAGTCAAGGTTTCGGCTCCTTCCCAGTTAATTCCGTCCCATCGCCTCCATCACCTCGGAGACTCAAACTTCCATCCAAACCCTCATCTACCCTCATCCTCCCCCCCTTTCTTCCCCCTCGTCCCGCCTGGAGCGCTTTACTCCTCCACACCGCAGTCGCTGCAGCTTGCCTCTAGACTCGGCGAGCCGAGTAGAGTTTTAATAGATGCCGAAAGCAAGCCGATTCGGAAGACAATCTCCCCTAATACGTATTCTGTAAGAGGCGGGTACATCTAAAGGTAGCTGTAATTGTAGCAAATGCCAACAATAATCATGTGTTAACAAGGCTTTCAACGGTCCCCTCTTCCAAGTGTTGCTTACAAGCAAGCTGATGGTGGATTTGTCTTCCTGGCATGTGTCAGTGCCAATTTACCATTGAAGGGAATCGTAGAGAAACTGGTTGTCTTATCTGCGGGACTAACCCTTCAACCTTTTGTACGACAGCAGCGCTGTTTCCCACAATGTTCAGTTTGATATTTAATGATTTAAATTTGACGCTTGACTTAGATACAACATGAAGTAATTACGAAAGACAGTGATCCTTTCCATGTGGCGCTAATTTACATCAATTTTTAATTTCTGTCGAAGTGCTTCGTTTTTTTTTTCCTCTGTCACAACCACAACCAGCTCACTGATGCTAGCAGCTTCACCGTGAGTCCATACAATCCATGGCTTAATCCTGGACGACGCTGACCAACTGGTGGCCGGGTTAACTCGACCAGCAATGGATCAGCTTTTCTTCTTTTTCAAGCTATTCCTTGCTTTGCTATTTGTTAGTGCTCCTCTAATTTACGAAGGTGGTGATGAGGACAATTCAAAGTGCAAGTACGGTATCTTTTATTAAGGCCTCCTATCCACCCTCTCACAGCCTCCTTCGTCTCCTTTCCCCGCCCTTTTCCAGCCAGTCCACGTCGTTTTTATTAAAAGTCGGTTTTTTCCTTTTCCCTCCTCCTGCCTCACTAACGATCCATGAAAGAGGATAAAAAATAAAGACGTGAACTGCCCGCTAATTTGAGGAACAGAAAAAAGTGGCTAGATTTGAGCAATGGAAAGAACTGGCGAATGCAGACGAAGAAGCAGGGACGTCGATGGGACACTGGATGGAGGAGAGAACCTTATATTCACACACGCCCTGCGCGCCTCGAACGCAGCGCGGCCACGAATCTTTTGTTGTCCTGGGAGTGTGGCTGGCCTACTGGGGCATACAGAATGCGAACTGTGGCGCCTGTCGGGTGCGTGGGCGGAGGGCGATGGGAAAATGGAGGGAAAAGGACGAGAGCGGAGGGAGATAGGGATGTGGAGGGCCAAGGGCGATGAGGGACGGCGGACGCCGATGCGAAAATGGACACTGTGTGATGGGTTCTGAAAGCCCTATGAGGCTCGCCTCATGACACACTGCTGGGCGCAACGAAAACGACCAATGGCCGTTAGGGGGTGGTGGTATCGGAGCGAGAGAGGTGCAGCGGTGCGTAGAGCACTTTCCCTCAGAGGTGAGGTGCATTTCCATCAGCGCGCAGGTTCGGCATTTCATCCTGACGGAGGCGCATCAGCTGCACCGAGCTAGCCGCGCAGCGTCCTGCACAGTTGAGATTCCAAGCGAAAAAAAAAGGAACAATCAATTCAGGGGTGCTGGTCATCTCTTTCTCCTGCCCTCAGAAATGACAGTGAGGGAGAAGCGCTATGCACTGTACGCTTCGCTGAACCAACAAAAGGGCAGGTAAAAATGTGCAAGTCCTTCGTCTCAAATCCTTCGCCTGGGTTGGTAAACAAGCCATGTTGAACAGGGAAATTCCCTTAAAATTTCAGCTTTCCAATTCCTCTAATTCCCGAGTCAGCAATTTCCCCGCCAAAAATTTTGACGGGCCCACACTTGAGAACCACGCCCATCTGGGGACTGAACTTGAAATCTTTAAGTTGTACGCAGGCTGGGGACGTCTCCTTAAGATTCCAGCCTCCCAGCTGCCCTAGTTCTCGAGTTAGTAACTTCCTCGTCAAAGATTTTGACGGGTATGTACCTGGGGGCTGAGTGTGAAACTTTCGAGTTCAACGTGGACCGGGAGTATCCTCACAAAATTCCAGCTTCCCAGCTTTCCTGGTCCCCAAATTAGCAATTTCCTTGCCAAAAATTTTTATGGGCTCGTACGTGAGAACCACGCAGGCCTGCGGTCTGGATTTGAAATACCTGATTTCTAGGTGGATGGGAAAATCCCCTCAAAATTTCAGCTTCCTAGCTTTCCTGGTTCCCGAGTTCGCGATTTTTCGTCAAAACTTCCACGCGCTTGTACGCGTGGTCCAGACATGTATGAGGGTTGATACCGCGGTCCTGGGGCGGCATTTGACTCGGAACCCAATGGCAAAATTTCAGCACCGGCGCTTGCTTGATTGTCGAGTTGAAATAACTGGACAAGATGCAAACATAAACACACACACACCGGAGCCATCACAATATGCGTTTTTGCACTTCTATATGTGCAAAAATGCATAAAAATGGATTTTTTGTTTTACCTCAAATACAATCTACACATGCTCGGGTTTACTGAAAAAAAAAAAGAGAAGTTGATAGAGGAACTTAGATATAATGGGGAGGGGAGAGGAGGGCAGAGGGGGATTAAGGGATATTCCAGTCAGCTATGAACTGTGCGCCATTTTTCTATGAAATTTCGGTGCTGTATGTGTATATTCTCCATCTCAAAAAGATTTGGCTGCGTCGTTCCCGTAGAGAACCACGTTACAGCATTACGCCGCGCACGATTCATCAGCATTGAGTGCAACGTACGCAAGAAGTTTATTGGCTCGAAAGATAATTGCGCAAGCGATGATGAATACCGAAAGGTAATCAAACAGCGCAAAATCAATAGATACAAGATGTTGTAATGATTTGCCCCAGAGTGTGAATAATAATAAAAGCAGTTTAGCGAAGAGTTGATAAAAATTCGACTCGAGAACGAAGCAATTATTGCAAAAAACTGGCTTCCGGCTACCTCCACCGCTCATCAACCATGTTCGCAAAAAACAGCAAGAGCAGAATTGGCTAAGAAATCGCGGCCCTGCATTTCACTGTTCACACATTATATTAACTGCTGGTACTCATATTTGCGGAAACATTATTTATCAGAAAGCAGCCAGCAACTGGTCCCTACAAACTAATGCGATAGATGCTCACTTCACAGAGACAAATAAAAATTATACGGAACAAGTTTACAAGGAAAGTACCAGTTGCGTCCTGTAAAAGCAATGAAAAACACATTTGCAGTGGAGCTCTGAGCTGAGCCTGTGGAATAATCAACGGTGAAAGGCCAGTACTCGAC